TATGCGCTAAGAACCTGGATGCCCCTTGTGCCCATCTCCGCTCGGGGCTGCTGCCACACATTCCGGCGCTATAATGGGGGCGTGTGTTTAAGAAGCGATCGCTTCAATCGCTGTTGGTGCTGTCACCCACCCAGGAATATTGCATGTGTTAAGAGTTCAGAACTGAAAGAAGCAAGCATATCATCCTTGAACCTGTAGAGCATATCAATACTTAAAGGAATGTGCAACCCGGCGAGGCAACTACTTGCAGGCCTCACCGACACTGGTTCGCAAAGCGCTCAGCCTCCCTTTCCGAACAGCCACTTCATGATCTCTTCTGAGACCCAGCAATACTCGGGTCGCGGCGCATACGACACAACAGGTTGTCCAAAGCCTCCACCAAGACCTAGACCATCATGAGAGGAGCCGTTCTCGCGCTATCCATTTGTACTGCAGCCTTGCTATCTTCCTTGATTGCCATGGCGGCCTTGGTTTATCATGTTTATTTTGTATTAAAGAAGACCAGAAAGCAGCTAGACGGTATGTAATATACGCATCCGGGGTGATATGTACTAACAATATCAAGAAGCAAATATCACTGAACTAAGCCCATGGAAGGTTTACCACATTTACTTTATGGTGCATAATCCTCAAGCCTGGACCAAAAACAGAAACATTACTTATGGCCATGCTGAGATACAAGACTCCGAGAACCACTGCACCTATAATCTCTATTCCTGTCTTGATTTTACAATTAGGGGATTTAACAAGGCAACGAATGAGTTCGGTGATATCGGGACTTTAGGAACAGATGTTGTTGCCGTTAAGGGTGCCAGTAAAATCATACTTACAGGAATTATAGTTGATGAACCGTGCTTGCTGGGAGGGGCTAGCCGTTCACTTGTAAAGATGGGTTTACCAACAAGACTGATTCCTGTGGATCCCCCGGACGGGTCGGGGGGCATAAATGACCCATGGGTTGCCCTTAGTGGATGACTTGTGGTTATTCCAGTCAGAGAAATATTTAAGGTCCCCATTATCTCTTATGTCTTGAATCATTATGTATTTACTATTGTATCCTCTACAATTCCAAACCGGAATAGCTATAACAGAACCGCAGCAACTCACCTCAACATGCCCAACTTTTGCGATCACAAACACCAGTACACTACAGTCCAGGGGAACTCCAGCCCTCACTGCATGATCTGGATGTGCACGGACTGTGACCTACTTGTGTGCCTAACTATTATAAGCTATACTAAAGTGACCAACGCTTGTGCACACGAGTTCCGAATGCTCAAGTCAGACAACACTTTAGTTCAGTGGCTCTGCCAGCACTGTCACTCAGGCCCCCACTGGATCATCTGGGAGTGCACATACTGCAAGCGGCATCTGTGCCGACCTTGCACGGACTGCTAGGCTTTTGAGGCCTCCCAATTGGGTATTTAAAGCTTGCAATGCCATGTCAAGAAACAAAACATCATCAAACTTCCTGTCTTCACAAAATTGAATCGAGCAACACCAACGATGCTACCTGCGCTGCCCCGACCCGAAGACTGGTCACAGGATGTCCAATATACCGTGGTACTTGACCCTGTCTTCAAACTCCTTGGTAAGGTCATATTTCCCACTGTTTTAGAAAATGCTCACCAGTGTAATAGAGTACGCAGGGATAGACCAAGACAAATGCCGTGTGCTAAAGGTATCACCGCAATGGCAAGCTTTGAATGTGTTCTCTTGGATCCCAGAGAACCAACTTGTGTGGATTGTACCGGGAACAGTTCAATATTTGGCAGATTTCAGTCAGTGTAATTTCAAGAAAGCAAACTATTTTGAAGTTCCGATGAAGTAGATGAAGGGCAATGCATTGTGGCAGCGGAGAGTCATAATTGGTACCTAGGGTATGATAACGGGGAGCTTCATTATGAGTGGAAGGAGCGTAAACAAGCTTCCTAAATAGAGATCTCTTCCCACTCGTCTCACTTCTCCTGGAAGAGACGAAGTCAAATATCTGGTGATAATGGCAGAGGCAACAAGCAAATTCGGTATTATTACGGGGAGCTTCTTTATACATTCAAACAAGTGCTCTACATAGCAAGGAGTGAAGGGAGCAATCTGGAGATATGAGGAGAGCCTAACCATTGCAGATGTGATCTCCATTTCCACGTCTAATTTCGAACAGGTGTAGGGGGGTCTCCAGCGAGGAGATGACGCAACCGAGCTTCAACGGTGACTGAAATGCATGTCATGCCGAGTCGAAATAACTGCTCCTCAGTACGAGCGAAATCTGGGTGAACACAGTAACCTGCTGCGCCCATTTCGTAACCGATGATAATAGCCAACTCCGTTTCTTTGATACCAGAGTAGCCGATGGTTTCGAGAACAGAGAAAAGACGTACTTGCGACGGCACACCTCTAATAGACAGTGCCATCTGAACGTAATTCTCGTTGGTATAGCGCTCGAGATTCTTTTTTACCTCGTCGTCGGTGATGTAAGGCAATCGGAAGTGTGCGCGAAGCCTCTGGATATTCCTAACGATAAAATAGGAGGGACGCGCGCATTTGCTGTTCTTGATGAAAATCGAGAGATCTGTATCTGGACAAAGCAATCGTTGAGTATTTGCTAATGAAAACAAAATGTGAATATAGCCAGCATAGTTATACTCTGACGGAGGAGCGGGCTGATCAACCAGGCTGCGAACCTGTTGGAGCTCTTGCCTGAATTGCTCTTGTTGCAGTATGAGTTGGTCAAGGTGTCGATATATCTGGGTTCTGAACACAAGAGGAGCGGTAAAAGTGACCGTCATTTTGTTCGAGACTTGAAACTTGTAGATTTTGGTAGAGACAAAGCAAAGATCGAGGTGGGAGGACACTTGGTGAGAAAGACGAAAGATGCAGGAAGGTAAAAGGGAAGAGTAAGGGTGGGGATGGCCAGTACTTGTGACAGATGCTTCACTGACCTGTCAGCCAAGGCCTCACCCAATAGGTAAAACTTTCCCATCTAGTCCTAAAACAACGGGACGTAGAATAAGTAGCCATGTCGTCCGAGATGACGATAAAGGCCTTCTGAGTTACAGTTTAGAAAGGAGCACTAAAGCAAGGGTAATCACACGCCCCCTTGGACCGCACACCCATCCACGCTTTGTTGCTTACAACCCTACAGCCTATAGTGGAGCTGCCAGCACTATCACTCAGGCCATTGACCCTCCCCCCACTGGATGGTCCGGCGATACATACTGCAGGCTGCACCTATGCCGACCCTCTACGCATGAGTCGTGAACGGACGGCGCCAAGCACTTACATGTCTCTCTCTCCTCTTCCCACAGAGACATAATATTTAAAGCTGGGATTTATGCTGAGTCCTCTCATCAATCTCACGTTGGCTCCAAGATTTCAGACTATTGTGCAAGTACCCCCGAACTTCTTAAATCATCTTTCATTACCCAAAGGCTCAAAATAATGACATCACTCACGTCGCCAGAGGAACCTGTAATTATTGACATACTTTTTGCACAGCTAGGTAACATCAGTTGCAAACTTGGCATCAGCAAGCCCTAACATGTATCAGTAGAGCAAAGGTTTCTCCAGCATACAGACGGTACCGTCATCAAGGATACCTTTACTGTTGATAGAAAGCATGCTCTCTGTGTAGTAAAGCATAGTCTGCTGGAACTAGAACAAAAATCTGGCTGGAAATTGATTCAGAAGGAGGATCAAAGTATTGTCATTGGGGCATACTGGTCGTGTAATGAATGCTGGGCATATCTAGGATATCACGAGGGAACATACTACGGGGCGTGGAACAGCGGGTAGATTTTAGACAATTTATGAAGAAACACTCTAAGAGAATGAGTTTTATTTAATGTATAAGTGAGAAATTAATTAAAGAGTGTTCGCTTTTAAGTAACTTGGACTAAAAGAGTGGAAAGTCAGAACAACAAGAGCAAATCATCTGGGTTTGCGTGGTTAGTGTTGTGAGTAGGATCTAAGACCAGGAGATGAGAGCTTCACGGGCAACAGAGTTGAAGATGGACTTTGAGCGTCCGCATTGACATCACTCTCTAGCTCGCTTTGGGCATCCCAAGATTGCTGATAGTGGTCTTCCATGTCCACACATGAGCCCGTGTCGGATTCAAGGGATTGTTGAGTAGGGTGCTGCATTGTTGAAGCTTGGTATGTCGGTGCATTTGCAGGACTAGGGCGTTGATACATCCCACGGGCGATTCCGGTCCCGATGAGAAGAATATTCTTCTGAGCATGAAGTGGAAAGGCATAGCGTTTTTCACAGCCGAGAAAGAAGCCAAAAATAATAGCTAGCTCCGTGCTCATGACTTTCCACCGATTGGCTAGCCCTAAGCTGGCGGGAGTCCGTTGATCTAAGCATGCTAGGATAAAAGGCAAACTGTCTTCTCTCTCGGGTAGACACATGATAGGGATAATATCGCCATGGATCTCGCAGTAGCGATTGTAGATCTCGATGGTATAATCCTGCAGGTTCATGACGCTGCTATCCACTCCCATGGGTGGAAGCCCAAGCAATTGGCGAAGATTGTGGATTTGCCTCAGGATGAACATGAGCATGGATTCTTGCTTGCTCTCTTCAATCAGAGTTGTAATGGTTTCATCCGGAAGAAGAAGCCGTCGGAGACAAGCTAGCGAAAGGATAATGCCACCATAGCCTATATCGTTCTGCACTAAGACAGCAGGCTGCTTGGTTTGGCCAAGGTGAATATCGAGCACTTTCTCTTCAATTCTCTGCATGGAGCTCAAGAACTTGCTCATTTGTTGTTGGGGAGGTGACTGAGGAGGGGTAGGAGGAAGTGCCAGTGGCGAACCTGGAGGGGGGCAGGATGGAGGCTGACCGATACGCGGCGATAGGTCTGACCACCGGCTTTGCGGAGAGGTATCGGCATCCAGGGCACCTTTGAGTCTTTCAAGGCGGTCCCAAATCAGCCAGCAGTCTCTGGGAAGCGAGCTGTTCATGTCGAAGTAAAGGACTCGGCAATGTTGAGATAGATGAATGCCAGTGGCAGCGATGAGCTGAAGTGGTAGGTCGGTCGAGTAGTCGTCAACCTGAAGGTTGAGAGACTGATTCAGTTCACGAAGAACCCCCTCAGCCTTGTGATTTCCCTTTGCTTGCTGCTCAAAATACATCTTCTCGAATCGAGTGTTTTGAGGACATCGCCGTTCCTGAGAAAGTTCGCTGAAGTTAAGAGAAAGTTCATGATTCGAAGTTTCTCGGTTTTGTGGGCGAGCTTTCATGTCCGAGTAGATGTCATCCCGAATATTGGCAACAAAATCGCGAAGCGTCGACTTCTTCATCGATTGAAGTGTCGAGGAATATAGTGGTCGGACACTCTGACGATTGTAACACAATTTGAACTTGAGTGAAAGAAAGTTGATAGCAAGTATCTGCAGCTCGTGTTCACTCTGAGCCTCTGAGGGTTCAAGAGTTGAAGTGCCCTTAACAATTGACATGACTCTGAGGATTGAATCTGGTAAGGAGTTGCTGCTTGGCCGTGCAAGAGAGAAGATATGAAAAGGACAAGAAGCGGGGAGCGGCCAGTATTTGCGACAGAACTTTCGTCAATTAGTTAACCGATAACTTGACAGGCAGACGATTCTTTCCTGTTCTGTTCTAGAGCAGCTGAAACCTGGGACAAGCAAGCATGCCGTCGTCCGAGATGACGAGGCAAGGCTTCTGGGTTGCAGATGATAAAAAACCACTAAATCGAGAGCACTTGCACGCCCCCTCTCGTCGATCCACGCCCTTGCTCGCTTAGTCCCCTGTTGTTAATGGTATGGATCGTCCCCTGTCAGCGCCTCGCCCTTGTCGACGCCGGGGCCAGTCTTCATGGGCAATACTGCCTTGTCCCATAAAAGAGCTGCAGGGGCAATGATCAATGGGTGCATAAATACAATTGGTCTGTGCGAAGTACACATCCATTTGAACGTCGTGTCGTAACTTGGGGGGTAGCTTGGGCGCGGTGCTTGCGGTGAACAAGACCTCGGGGTATCAAGACTTGCCATTCATTGGCGAACTCACTCTGGACAGTTATCTAGCAAGACATGCCGTCTCGTTTTTTGTCTCATAGTCAGGCATACCGAAGATTTAGTCTCGAGTACTCAGTTCTGCGCGGGCAGACCAGCAGTCAAATAATGCTATTTAGGTCATTGTACGAACGGTAGAATCAATTAAGCTCTAGTAATACTGAAAGAGTAAAGTAGGATTATTATATGAGAAAGGAAAGATAATCTCCTGCAACGAGAGGACTTCTGAAATCGCACCCCTATACAAGACACTAGGCTCCGACGACATGACAAGGCTGTCATCGTTCGTCAAGAGGTCTCAGGGAATGAATAAAGGCTTCCAAATCTCCATTTGCTACCACTGTCCCAATTAGAAACATATGCTCCTCAGTGCGAATATTATTAGGATCAATCAAGCGCCCCATCCTACCAAGAAAGGATCTGAGGATAATAGCAAACTCTAACATCTTGAGACCATGATAGTTTATGGCTCCAATATCCGGCCCTCTGGATTTCAATCGTGCTAGTACAGCAGAGTGAGGGTGAGGAGAGATTTCAGTGCAGAAACTAATAACTGGGACCTTGTTGCGTTGTCTATACACATCGTACAGCTCGTTCACATATCCCTTGAACATCTAAGTTTCCCCCGGTAGATACTAATCTAGCAAGTGTAGCTTTGATCGAAGCTGATAGAGTTTGTCCAGAATAAACATAGATAGCGGCTGACTTCTGCTCTCTTCTATCATAGAGAAGATCTGTTTCTGCGGAGAGAGTATTTGGTCCATGGTGGCCAGCGCGAGTACGATGACGGCATCTTCGATTAAACAGTTGGCAGTAGAAGAAGTTCGATGAAACAAAGGTTGGTCAGGTTGGTTGAGGATTTCGAGCTGTTCCAGTTCACCGAACGAGGTATCGTCTGACTGGAGACAGAAGGGAGATGGAGTTGATAGACAAGTACGGGCATGTTTGAGGACGGGAGTCAACGGAGGCGATAGGCTATCATGCTGTAGAGAATTGAGGGGAGTAATGAAAGGTGATGGAGTATCAAAAGAAAGGTCCATGGAGTCTTCTGTGCTTCCCATTGTGTCTGATGCTGAAAGTTGGTAAAAGTTGATAGGAAGGTAAGATGAAGTGAGCATCGAGGCGGGGGATGGCCAGTATTTGTGACAGAGCTCAACTCCTGAATGCCCGGCCTACCAACACCCTAGAAGCCCGTCCATGCCCCTGCTTGCTCAGCCGTTGTTGGTCGAGTCAACAGCACAAAGCCCGGGCTGAAACTTACACACCCCTTCATCTCATGTAGTTGCACGATGATAGTACTTGCCAGAGATCAGACGGAATTCTTGCGGTGAAGCAAAACAAACAGGGGAAGCAGCTGCAAAGTCGAGGACCCCTGAATGGATCGTGCTGAAGTTGTAGCAAGGTTCGGTTAAGGGAAGCCATGTTCAAGTAGTGAGTTACTGTGAAGTTCAACAGGCCATCTCCGCCATGTATTTTAACGACAGTGAAGATTATAAAACCACGGTTGGTATGCAATATCCCTCAAATCAAAGCCAAGTCAATTTCCACTAAGATGAGCGACTATTGTATCCTAAACCAAGAAAACCGTAATGTCCTTCATGACTTCCTTGAACTCCATGGTGAGTCTCTCTCATCGCGCCCGTCTCCCATCGAACATTTCTAATAAATCAAGGGACAATTTTCGAAGGAAAGAGTAGGGACTTCAGGGATCCCTTTACTTTAAAACCATATCACAACGTTTCAGAGGACATTTTTATCGTTAACATATCTGAACACGAGATTGATGTGTCTTTGAGGTTATGGAAGTATTTGAAGTCAATTAAGTCATGGTCATCTCGACTTATAATGGGCAGACAGGATGCAATTGTTTATTACCACGAGATCATTCAGAAATAAAAAGGACATGGAGTCTTGCTTATATCTAGAGATCTTAGATTGAGATTGAAGAGCCAAGAGACTCGTGACATGAACGTGTCCATTGATAATGGCAAGAAAGAAAGCAATTGTTTATTGCTGTAACCTAACTTCTGGGACCCCTAAAGCTGAGTGATGCGGCTGCAGTGCCTGATTTCAAATGAGGCTCTGGGTAAGCCGCGAGCCATGTTTCTTGAAGGGAATGGAGACGACCCCCGGTACATAGCGAGTGCACCCTGGACAGTAGGGCGGACCATAATCTTAGTTGTTGCCTTATACTTGCTGTTCGCCACGAGTCTCCTGTCTGTCATTTTCGACTCTCACTCCAGGCGTGATTCAATCTGTCGCCAAAACTCCATGTAATGTAGTAGCTGGCGGCAAGACCATGGTGTTCTTGATGCAGTTGTATGGACATACAGGCCCTTGATCTGCGGCCTCTGAATCAAATCCTGCAGCCACATCACCCTTCAGAACGAGGCTCTGGCGGTGAAAGTTAGAGAGATGAACGTTATATGAGGCGCTACCGTACCGAGAAATTTTGTTGTATAAGGTTCGCTTTCAACAAGTTTCACTCCACCAACATGGGTTCAGCACCCAGTAAGACTCTCTCTTCCACTATGTCTACACAATGCTGACAGCTCTGATGGCTCTCCATGTTATTCTATAACAAATAATGGAGATGGCAGTCCAATTGTAGAGAAATTGGCAGAATTCGGTCAAGATGACGAAAAGGATACAGAGAGCGTGACAACGATTAGCAGCGAACCCGAACCTGATTTAATGGACGCCAGTCGGGACGCAGAGAACATACCAACCTGACACGACACTCAAGAGAGCGAACGGGATGCAAAGAGCGTGACAATAAGTAGCAGCGAACCCCAGGCTGATTTAATGGAGGCAGATCAGAATGTTGTAATGACTTGTCTCGAGGTCCAAAACAGAGCTGAAGAACATAATAAAAAAAAACGAAATAACAAAGGTGCGCGTTGTTAGATGAGCCATATAAAAATAGTCAACGAAAATTCGAGAGGTGCACCAGATTGTGACTTCCCAGGAAGTCGGCGCTTGAGAGTGGCTTGACGTAGCACCGCCTCAACGCCGTGGCGGGCTGCATGATGCGGGGTAATCTTATCAGTTGGGTGATAACCCAGCACCGTGCCTACAAGCTGGCCCGAGCATCCCTGCGCGCTCGGCTCTCCCAGCCGCAAGCAATGGATACATAAGTAGCGTGATGCTCGAGTCTCAAAGACCAGCCATGAAAGCACTGTCGCATCCGCCCCGCACCAACTTTCGCAGCAACACTATGTCCACACACAATCCTCTCATCTCAGAACTTGACTCACTCGTCACAAAAGCACGGGACCTTTCGTCAAGCTTCAGTACACTACATGGCATGGTTCGCGATAAAGCCACTCAAACGACGCGGCAAATGGGTTCCCAGCAACTCGAGAATCCGGCCGCTGAGCTACTGGCGACAGTCTTGAGTGGCATGGATGGTTTGGGTGACCAGTTACAGACACTGACATTGCAGGCTGAAGATGCCCACGCCCAAGCCCAGAATCTCATGCTTCCCAGCAACGAACAGCCTGCACAGACATTTGATGATCCACAGCCCGTGGACTCAGAGGATGTGATCATGACGGGGAGCGATTTAGCCTCGGCCAACAGTCTGTCTGACTCACCCAAGGAGGGAGGCAACGATATCAACGACCGTCGCGCAGTCACTTCGAGCCCAACCAACCGAAGCGCAAGAGCCGACCTGAATACAAGGCGAGAGGGGAGATCCTTCGCAAGGAGCCACTCGGTTGGGACTGAATCATCAGCTGCCTCCATGGCCATAGACACGTCACCAGCCGGTTCCGTTGCGACTCACATCACATGGCCGGAGAGCTCTGGTCGGTCTGCTGACGGGGATGAGGCCATGTTGGACGTCGATGACACAGGAGATAACGTGCAGAAACGGCAGCCTGACCTTGGAGGCCTCAAAAGAATCGCTGACTCTGGCTCGGGACAGGACCCCGCGACTGGCGACAAACCCAGCTCCCCTGACGCGCCGAGTCCGGTCACTGACGACAGAACTGGCCAGCCAACTCAGAGTCCTGAGGTCAGTGAAAGGGCCAGTTCCTCTGAGCCACAAAGTCCTACGGCACAGACTGAAGCTGAGCTGCACGACGACCGGCTCGCCAGCCCCCCGGTGAACAGCGATATGAGGCCCAATGATTCTCATGCCGATGATCTCACTCAAGGCATGGAATCAGCCATGGATATCCTGGCCGCGGCCGCAGAGCAGCATCAGTCGCCAGGGAGTGGAGATGAGCAACGCTCCAGCGGCCAACAGACAGAGTCTCCCTCTGCCGGCCCACCTGGCGAACGAAGCGATACCGCCAGCACACCACCAGCGATACAGTCCACGCCGCCCAACGGGACACGCTCCTCGCTTCCTCCGACAACAGTTCTCACGCCGGCTGATATGAAAAGGCTCGTCCCCAAACTTGCCGAGATGGAACGTGAAGGTGAACACCAGCACTTCTCTGTTCCTCGCAGAAATGTTGACTTGGCCCACATGAAGGAGATGGTCAAGACGACTGATGAAAGGTGGCAGACCACGAGCACTCAGTATGTGCCAGGTCCAAAAGGCATGGGCTACGCAAATATTTACGTCCCGGATCGTCGACCTCCAATCCACTGGGAGGGGTTCACTACCCAATGTCAGCGGCCAACAATTCCGGAAATCGTGGCAATCTTTGAGAAGTATGCCTCAGATCCTCCTCGAGAAGATATTCCGTATTATATTGGCAATCTCGATATTCTTCCTGAAGAGCGTTTGGATCCTGGACCTGAGATTACGGGAAACCCTGAACTTAAGGACCTACACGTCCCGTATCACCATATTGGTGGTCATGGTTCCGGAAACCGTATACATAGGGAAGATTTCATCACATTCCGATCCTATAATGAGGTCTACTTCGGAACCGGGTATAAACTTTGGCTGGTGATTGAAGAAGATCACATAGCTAAGTTCAATGCATTTGTCAAAGCAAAATGGGACTGTAACGAATGCGACCTGTTTGTTTCACACCAATGTCTTCTCCTCGCTCCCTCCAGACTTGACAAGGCGGGCATACGTTATAATGTTGCGGCCGTTGGATGTGGTGAAGCCTTCTACACCTTACCGGGACAGCCGCATGCGATTATCAATTTTGGACATTGCGCCGCTCATTCGATTAACTACATACCACCTGGGGAGGAAATTGACTTTAGCAAGATCACTACGTGTACCGACGATGGCATGTATGTTGTTGGGAAAAAATATGGGCAAACCACTGCCTCCGTGCAGGAATTGGTCCAAACCAACAAACGAAAAGCACATCAGCAACTCTCCCAAGTCGCTCCAAAGAAGACACGAACCTATACCGCAGCCCATCGGGGATTAATCGAGATCGAGCAAGGCCTGAAAGGGATACGTTATCGTCCAATCCAAATCGACCGCGAGCATCCCTCGGCCGCAGAGTTGAATGTATACAAGCGAGTCGCTGCTGTCCGTAGCACAGCGGCCATACAACAGTTCATTACTCTGGTGAAGGATTGGAAGAATGAAGGGGTCCCCGTCCATATCGACAAGAGTCAAGATAAGCTGAACCAGTCAGTGCAATTAGTGAAATTCTTTGAGGGCAAAGCAAATTTGTCAAAGTTCGAACTTCGTCTTAATCAATGCAAACTAGCTCATGAAGCTGATACGAAAAAGGGGCCTTTAGACAAGGCCCATAATGCAGGCTATCTTGCAACTCTCGCAATTAAGCATAATGTGCTGGTGAGTTGGTTGATAAGGCACATTCAAGAGGGCAGGAAATGGAATCGTATCTGTCAATCACACGATGGATTGCTCCCCTTTATCTTCTTGGACTCAAAAAATCCTTTTGGGTTGAAAAAAAAAAGACTGGACCGATCTCTATTGCGAAAAATTTAACGACGAGGCGACTGCATTCTGCAGTCTACTTGATGATAAGTATATGAGGAACCTATGTGAAGCAGGAAAGACCTTTGAGGCACGAGTTTGTGGCAGCGTGAATTCTGGTGGATTCCTATGGGAAGAGAACGAGCTGGACCTGGACTCAGAAGACATCGATGAGTTACTTAAGCAGGTCACCGGAAATGAAGGCACGTGACTAGTCAATGGCTTAGTCAGAATAAGCTGCAGCTTTTTCTGACTCAGCATATGCCTTATGGCTACCCTACACTTTAGCCCAGTAGTAATAAATATTTTTCTTTCGTTATTTCAATATTCTGCTAGCCAAAAGTCGCGCTCGTCCAAACTATACACTGGGTCCTGATTACACTTGCCGAACACTAAATACACTCGCGTAGGCAAAGAACTGGCATCACTGTTAGGCCAGCGCTTGTGTGATCTTGCAGCTTCACGTAGACTGATGCGACCACCGCTTGTCTTTATGCAGACCGCTGACTGAAGCGTTTGATGAAAAAGACGCGCAACACGGTCGAAAAAGGATTTCCAAGTGCCACTGAACAGTTTCACATTGCGTAATGCCAGTTGCTGCAGCTGGTGTTGACAGACAAATTCGATCAACTCATTTTCCGAAGTCCAGAGATGGCGAAAGTGGGCGCGACGAAGTGTTGGCCATTTCAAACGCCGTAGGTCTATTCTCTGGCTACTGGCTTGTCCTCCAGACTCGGTACCTAAAACAAGTTACCATAGATTTGGGAACGATCGTAGAAATTGTTGCACTTCGTCGTGCTCATAACCGCGTACCACCAAATTCCTGACGTTTAGAGACACAATATTCTCGTTAGCAACGAGCCATCCATTGTTCTGTATGTCGAGCGTGCTGGGAATATTCAAACTGGTTATCTGGGGGAAGCGAAGTACACTTGGCAATAGCCTGCATGCAAGGTCCTCTACTCTGGCTTTGAAGAAGGGACACACCGTGTCTTTTGGCAAAGTTGATTGTAGTATGCACTCTTCAACTTTCCCCATCGCCATGTATACACATGTGATAAGGTCAGGGTAGTCAGGCTAGGAAACATTTCCAAGATCATGGCCAGTCCGCTGACATCAGAGTCAAAGACCCGGGGCGCTTCTTGAGTGGCGAAACGCCTGTAAGCAACAAAGGCCTCTATCTCCGCTTATTTGTATAAGTCATCATGGCTGATAGCTTGGGGGTGAGTTTTCCACTCGTCAAAAGATCCAGGGTGTGGCCAAGTGCCATGATAGAGACTTAGGTGCCTGGCTGCAGAGATAGGACTCGTATTGTAGTTCTGGGAGTTACAAAGCTGCTCAAGACACTTAGCAGTATTGACTGCTTGAACGTGGTGGAACAAGGCAGCTGAAGCGGCATAAACGAATGCCTTTTAAGTCAGGTATGGACATTAAAGCCTAAGAGATCTCTATAATAAGTTCAAGGAGAAGACTCTCCATGGTGAAGATAGGTATAATTATAAATAAGTGATAGATGGGAAGAAGAATACATGCACTTAGAGAAAACAAATTAAAAGTTAGAAATTAATATAAAGAAGTAAATAACTTAATACTTAAGTAATTAATAGAAAGCAGTTTTAAGCAAAAGATAACAATTGTATTAAATTATTTTTATATGATATAAATACTTTTGTGATGTATCTGAGCTATCCTTAATTATCTGAAATTTCTGGTATCCTTGGAGAACTTGAGCCATTTCTTGTAACCGAACATCCTCCTCAATCTCTGTAGTGACAACAGCTCGTCTAGTAACAGCCTGGCCACGTCTACGAAGTCCCGAGTAACTGCATGGTACAAGGGGGACTGGTATGAAGGCCCAATAGCATGGCGGTGTGCTCCATGTTCTAATAGAACTTCTACACACCTCTCAGCCCAAGAATCACTGCGCACATCAAAGGTGTCATTCCTTCGTCTGGTTCAGTGTGGAGTGTGCGGGTATCGATTTTCGAACCACAGGTATCACGCATCGTCTTTGAGACGAATTCCAGCACAAAAGACCAGACGGCAGAAGAATTAAGACATATATGAGGAATTAGCATGTGTATCCAGACAAATCAGCAGACATTCTATGCTAAAAATTGCTCGAATGCCGCCTGCGAGTCAACCAAGCAACGTCCACACACTCTTGTCGATAGATTCCGCACCATTTCTCTATAGCGATAACCTGCTCTGCAAAACCTGAGCTGCATCAAGGCCGCGTGCCAATATGAGGCTGAGCAGCAGAAAATAGCGAAACTTGTAGCCAGGACCCGCCCCGGATTGACTATAGGACAGCGTTACCCCTTACTTGGCGAACAGCCCATTCGTGTGTCGTGCAAACGCGCATCTCGTTTTTATCGTCATTCACTATCTATGGTCCAGACTGCTTGCTCCCTGTCTAAGCAACCTAGACTTTCCGTCTCCTTTTCCTCCGTCTTCTCATACACTCGTTGTTACTTCCAGGAATCTTTGCTTCGTTCCTTCATGCCAACGCAACACCATGCTTCGCGACGAGGATACCTACAGTCTCCCCAGCTGTCGGCTTTGTCTATGTGATGACTTCTCTTTACACCCCAAAAGCTATTCAATTTCATCACGATTCATTTCTTTCTATTCTTATTGCCTTCAGCCAGATTCCTTTGTGGCCATGTATTCATTCACAATCTATGTATCGTTGCTGGCGATGGCGACAGCAGCAGGCAACAATAAACGCCATGTAGTGTGATACTTCACTTGTCTCAAGATGTCGCATTACTGAGTATGAGAGCCTCCACGCGGTTTCCTCAGACATTATCAATTAACGAAGGGTATCCAATACCTTGTCACCTCGTATTGGGGGACGACAGTGGACAAGTCTGTCCGATCTGTAGGTTTGTTTGGCATCTGTTTTGTTCGGAAGCTGTTGCTGTGTGTTCCTGGGCTCCGTTTATACGGGCTGCATCATTGCTCAGCTAAGGTCGCCATCGTCTGTGGATACCTAGTTTTCGTGGCATGCTCTGAGTGCACTGGGCTCGAAAAATCATTAAATAGCAAGAACAAAATTGGAGACAAAAGCCGCACACTGCGCGACACGACCTCGCCCACAGGCGGGATATGAGTGCGAAACAACTAGGCTAGACTGGGGGGATGCGTGAGAGTGGATTGCACATAACCAACAGAATTTTGTGAGAATAATCAAGCACCCATGATGTCAGAAGAATCATTACACTAAGTAGAAATTTCTGTTTGGCTTTATCTCTCCGGTGTCACGTCTGTTGTCGCTTGGAGTCCTTCTCCAACCGTGGTTCGACGAAAGAAGCCAACGATACGTTAAATTTTCGACCACACTACTTATGACTCGAGGACTCGAAATAGTGCGCTTCTGTAGGCGCTACTACCACCAATATGACGGATATTTTGAGGGCCTTGGCGCCAAAATAGTCGCAGCGATCCCCGCAGATGGCGATGGGTACCATAGTATGCCGTGAACAACAAACCGCACCTCGTGATGCGCTAACTATTTGCAGACCAGAAAGAAATATGCGGCGAGAGAACAGGCGCTTGAAGAATAGGTCTACGAGACTCGCGACGGACTCGAACCTGATCATTCTCAGTATGATGACTTATTCACGCTTCCTTCTGAGCTTCCACGGCTGGGTCACTACGACGCCGAGTACATCTACATCATCAATCTCGACCTCGAGATTCTCACCATTAACAACAGTATCCATTGGAAATTGGGCAATATACTACGAAACAACCTGTGGCTTCGCGCCATTGCGGACAGCATCTACCCGTATAAGCCGACCATCTCCCTCGACGTTTTTCCCGAAGAATATATAGCTTCATCAGCTCTAGAGCTTCCTACGCCGGACAGAATGATAGGATACAATTTTGCCACTGTAGTTCTAAAAAGGGACATGGAGCAAGCCCCAATTGCGTTTCTCAGGCATGTTCTCGCTGAGACGCTTATCGAACATAAAGACGACATCGTTAGATTTGGCAGAGGATGGAGCCCAGCCTTGTTTCCTTTCCTTCAAGTAGCCTTTACCCTCGTCTCAATCGCGTCCGGCCAGGCTAGCTTCTTTTATTTCCCCGACCAGCCGTTTGACCCTCGTTCTTGCTATTGGGTAGGATGCAACTCTAACCACCTCCACATGTCATCGGGATGGCTCGACCAAGACTGGGCTGGTGATCACGCTTCATTGCTCGAGTTTGGCTCTATGTCTCGTCGACCGGACGAGCTTCCGGGTGTGTCGCACTCGGAAACGATATATTGGCATGAGGATGTGCTTGTTAGCCTCTCACTGATAGTTGACGGCAAAGCTATCACGGAGGCTGTTACCTACGGCGTCGAACAGGGCCGTGTCAACCTTCAGATCGTTGTTTTCTCACTTTTCAAAGCCGCTTTTGCAGAAGCTAAATTTTAAAGCTATTCCTCTGTCGCCTTTGCAGGCAGCGTATTGCGTGAGCACACATCCGCGTGAACGACCAGAGCTCAAGGACAAAATGGAAGTTTAGTGTCGGCGCGAGGAGCTTATTATGAAGTTGCTGCACGCCGCCGCCAACATCTAAAACGGCAGGCATTCTCCCCCCGGATCTACACAACCGGATCTTGGACTTTGTGGACTACGGTACGTGGAAGAACTAGTCTGTCTTATCACGCGGGGTTCACCGCTACTGCCTCTGCAAGTACAGGCTCGATGATCACACTAGAGCTGTGGCCGGCCTTTTCGTGAGGCTGCAAAGGTATCACAAAAAACGTCTACTGTCCTTCGACTTTGAAAACATGCAAACAGGTAAAATCGAGCCAATGATCGAAGCCCCTCGTTGTTTTCGGACGGAAAGGTGTGATTGGATGCCGGTCGTTGGCAACGACCGGAAGGCTCTCACACTAGACGTGTTTATCCAGTATGAGCTGGCTGGGGATGTGCCGGCGGAAGAACGACAGCAATGATGATGCCAAATGAGGCCTGGAGGACAAAATACTGGAAGTGAACGGCTGCAGCATAAAACAGAGATGCAGCGGTACAGACCAAACAACCTGCAATCCTAATACCACTTCTGCCTGCTCTCACCTCTAACGGTTACCCTCGATCATGAAATAGAAGAACTGACCAGGGTCAATAATGATCATGTCGAATCTTCATAAGTTATGTGCGCGAAACAGTCTCTGTATTCCCAGAAACTCCATCCCAGTCACTCCTGACATGCGTGTAGGCAAACTGACAGATAAGAAATTGTGCCAGGGAAAACAATAGAGCACATTTGGGTCTAGCGTTGTATGTCAGTTGAAGAGTGAGTATTTTTTAGGCCTGACGAGCTTCTCCCGCAACTCAAACCTTTCCCCCCTCAGACGATGTGGTAATCACATTGTATCTCGTTACGAAAGGGTTGGAAGCAATTAGGGCAGTAGCTAGTCTGACCAAGACGACGGAGACAAATCGCCAGTCGGAGCAGTACGTCAGGCCATGGATGAAGAGGTGAGGGCGAGGAAGGCAGCCAATCGAATTGGCAATGCAAAGCTTTAGTAAAGGCTGTGAGGAACGAAGACCGCATCAAAGTAGTATTTGAGACGAAGGCGCCAAAGAGGTGGCAGAGAGGACGACGGTGGAGGGCGCAAGGGTGCTCCGAGACCAGCTATACCCGGCCAAGATCAACGGTGCCAATGGGACATGAGTTCCAGATTCATCTGGTAACATTCTGTCAAGTGCAACCGGAGTGTTGGGAAAAGAGAACGGGGCAATGCCAGCAAAGATTGCACTTGCTCAGCAATAAGGAGAACGGGAAGGTGTGTGACTTGATGGTGATCCAAGCCGGGTCATGCGCGATGATTGCTTGAAGACAGATACTTTCACTTAGCTGGAGAGTCGGCCAGCATCAACATTTTTGAGCGACGCCAAGGCCCGCCCAATGCTACAACTGCTGGGAGACTGGCCACAAGGCCTTTGCTTGCAGCAAGACACAACGATGCGGCAAGTATACGGAAATGGGTAATCGCTATTGAGACTGCTCTACCCTTGAGCCAAAGTGCGTCCTGTGTGGAGGACCGCACGAGTCGTTCAGTCAAAACTATCGGGTACGATAAACTACGTACTACCGATGGGCACTAACTAAGCATGATGAACCAAACAGACTTGCAGGACTATGCTGTGCTGGCAGTCGCCGAACTATACGCTCTTCATGTTAGAGATTGGCAGTGATGATGTCAAATAGCTACAGAAACTGGATCAAGTATATACCTATGAAGAGGCACGAGGTACAGTGGCCGATCTGGAGCATTCTCTGGATTCGTAGCTTCCTAGAGGTGGAACAGGTGCCGATACCCTCGGTCGATCTCACGGGGGCAAAACTTCGGTGGCCCTGCTGAGAAATCTTGGTGGTAACGGTGTACGGGGGTAAAGGTGAAGAAGCTTTGCGCACCGCTATGAGACAGCTATATGCGACCATTATGAGCTTTCGTAGCAGCACGGGGAAGAGAATGGACATCATTCTTGCCCGCGACTTCAACTGGCACGATCAGCTCTGGGGAGGCGATAACGTGACAGGCAGGAGACAGAGTGAGGCAGGGCTGATTATATTTCCCATAGACGAGCATGGCCCGCTCAGTATCCTTCCATGAGGCGCGAAGACATGGGAAGGATCAGGCAGTGGGATTATAATTGCTTGACGCTCGCATCAGCTGAGCTAGCAGACGGTTTGGTCCACTGCGGTTTACATCCGCTCGAGCATGGATCAGATCATAGGACCATCCAGACGGAGTTTGATCTCGCGACGCCCGAGAGGACAACGGAACCAAGATTGTTGTTCAAACATGTGCCCTGGAACGTAATCAGGGAGAGGACGAAGGAAAGCTCTCTCCACTTCCATGGGATGGCGACGTCTAGACCCAAACGAAAAGGCTTATGGGAATTGTTCTCCCTGCGATTCATGAACTGGTCCCGCGTGCGAAGCCATCACCGTTTGCTAAGAGATGGTGGACCATTGACCGCGCCATGCTTCGTAGGACGTACACGTTCTTGAGAGACCTGGCAAGTGCCCGGCGTCGGGCCGGCCAGCGGATCAACAGTCTGGAAGATCGAGCCAAAAAAGCAGCCAAAGAGCATCACAATGCGATCAAAAGACATAAGAAGGCGCACCGAGATGACTTTCTCGTCGATGGGTCCAATATCTGGCAAACTGCTAAGTCCCTCAAACCTGATAAGAGGCGTATGGTGATAAGGTGCCTCTGCTAAAAAGAACTAATGAAACAATGATGAAGGACAAAGTCGAACAGACGGAGGGAGTGCTTCATGTCTTCTTCCCACTGCTACCGATATGCATAGAAGACGAAGGTCCGCGACCGCGGCGCAGAGAAGTGGCCATGCCGAACCTTACGATGAAGGAGGTGGACCAAGAGGTGATGTAGGCCAAGGCTTGGAAGGCGCCTGATTAAGACGGACTTGCGACGATGATGCGGAAGCAGCTCTGGCTGGTGGTGAAGGAGCGGGTATTGTACCTGTTTCACACATCATTGAACACGGGACAACCACTTCGTTAGTGGAGGACGGCCAAGATCATCCCACTCAGGAAACCGAACAAGGGCGACTATAAGATAGCCAAGGCGTGGAGACCGATCTCGCTTCTATCGACGCTGGGCAAGATTTTCGAAGGTGTAGTGGCGGACCGTATATCGCATGCTGTCGAGACGTACACACTCTTACCCACTAGTCACTTTGGGGCGAGGGAGCGACGGTAAGCGGAGCAGGCTCTGTTGCTCTTCCAGGAACAGGTTTACAAAGTGTGGCGCGACCACAAAGTGGTCCGTATGGTCAGCTTCGACGTCAAAAGAGTCTACAACGTGGTGTTCAAGGACAGGCTGCTACAGAGACTCGAGGCACGGGGTATACCCACGGAGCTGTGTGGATCGACGCTTTCTGCTCGAACCGCACGGCTACCATTATGGTGAACGGGTACACCTCCGCGCTACGAGATCTGCCACAAGCTGATCTCCCGCAAGAATCACAACTATCGCCAATAACGTTCCTTTATTCAATGCAGACCTAGTGCAAAGTAAGATAGACTCAAGCGGAGACAATTGCTTTTGTCGACGACTACTCAGCCTGGGTCACAGGTCCGACGGCGGAAGACAACAGAGAAGGTATTTAGGCCATCATCGATCGTGCACTGGTATGGGAGACATTTGAGTGCGACAAGACGGTCATCGTGCACTTTACCCGTATCGTCGACTGTACCAGTCGTATACCGTTCACGATCAAGGGAGACGTGATCAAGCCGAAACTGAAAGCCAAGATCTTGGGCGTCATCACGGATGCGAGACTGAGGTTCAAGAAGCACATGGCTGAAGCAGTTACCAGAGGTCTCACAGCGACCATGTGTCTGAAAAGGTTGAAAATGGAATCCGCACGTACGGCTAGACAGCTTTTTACAGCCACTGTTCCTGGGACGATGGACTACGCTTTGGTCGTTTAGTCGCATGCACGAGGCGAGAGAGAGCTGAGGTGGTTCAACAGGGCTCAGAAGATGAGCGCGAGCCATCACGGTCGCTTTCCGGACGGTCTCGATAGTAGTGGCGGAAGTAGAAGCAAGCATATCGACGGTATGCGAGCGGCACGCCCAAGTAGGCATGCGGATGTACGTCAACATCAAGACGCTACCAAAGATGCATCCGTCCGTAGCCCTCAAGGTGTCAACGAATCGAAGATACATGTCGCCGCTGAAGAAGCTGACGCTTGCACATGAAGGAAGCGGGATGGAGCGGATGAAAACGATTGAGGCATATGCGTTACCGCCATGGCACAATTATGTGTCGTTCATCTACGAGGCCGACCGCGAAGCGGCGCTAACAACGGCGAAGAAGGTCAACGATACTGCCATAGCGACCAGCGCTTTTAGCAGAGAAGGCTTAGTGGGTAAGGGTGGCATGGTAGTCCAAAGATCGTCTGATCAAACAGACAAGATAGTGGCCAGGTACTCAATCACGATCGGGTCGCGAGACGACCAGAACCCGTACACAGCCGAGCTGGAAGCAATAGCGATGGCACTACGATATATGCTGGATGGTCTACAGGTTCGAGAGCTCACAGTGCTATAAAGTAGCCAGTTATATGACTTAGAACTAGCAACATAACCAACTTGTTTTAACTTTGGCAAAATCTACTGCGGTTTCCTAAGAGGTCCACTTTGTATCTGTCGATCTCGCTGGATCGCCGGCATTGTGCAGCCAACTTACACACGCCATTTCTGACTTTTTGACTCCCCGTCAGTATCGCCTTCGCTGTTGGTACTGAAGAGTGACTACTTCAGGACACAGCAGCTTGTGCTGGGGAAATATTCTTGCCTCCAGAGACTTGAATCTGTTACATACCTTTGTTTCTTGATATTTAAGTAAAAAGCGTCAATGACACGGACAAACAAATCGTCTGTTCACATGATAGCTCACTGTAATAACGCTATTAAAAGACTATTTACAGTTGACCGCCAAGCGATCATCATCATCAAAGCTTTGCTAAAGGCTATCTCCCCTGGAGATGAAGATTAGAAGGTATGATAAAGGTAAGACAGTACAGCTAAAGCAGCGTTATCAAGAAATTCTAATCGTAGAGCAAGAGGCTCGAAAGGAGAAATCGAGGAAAATTGGCTATAAGTACTGGTATTGTTCTTCTTTGTGATTTGCATCGCTCTGCATACTGGTCGGAGGTCCAAACGACTGTCTTACATTTTATTCTATTATCTGTCGCTAATCATCATGAAAGCACTTCTTAATGATACGTCACTACAGACCATCCTCACAAGAACACAACAGATCAATAACAAGCTTGGCAGTCCCGAAGTGGCGCCGGACTTGTGGATGGACAGAAACCTTGATGAATTGAATCAAATAGTCTATGAGCAGCTGCAAAGTGAAGGTTCCAGATCACAGAGTCCCCTGCAGAATTAGGGGCTAATTATCTGTCACCTCAGAGCGTCCCCCCCTTGTACGACGCACTTTTACGCATCTGGGGGTGGATTGACAAAGAAGTACAAATCCCGCGAGATCCAGCTGCTCTCTCCAAAGATATCGGTAAGAGGTACCCTTGGTGGGAACACCTTGTTACAAAGGTCCTCGAAGCAGAAGAGGAGGTACTGTGCCTAACTTGTTAGCCATTGTGTACCGAAGCTAACCTTAAGTGATCCTGTGGGATTTATTTACCCTTCATCCATACGGTTTATGGACCGATGGCCGACGTTACTGGCTATTGAAAGTGGTTGGAGTACCTGCAATAGCACACCCGAGGGTATAAGGAGGGAAGGAGCGTCGGGTATCGAAAGGACTCGGTGTACCAGACAATATATGAGTGATCTTGTGGCAATATTTCCAGGCTACCATATAGCTGCATCAAATGGATCCACATGGCTCCATTTTCTCATCATACTGTGGAGATATCTAGCAGTCAACGCAGACCTCACTGGGGGTCGAAATTGAGGCTTTTGACAAACGTGCTGGCTAAAGGACGCCAACACACAATATGATTGTGGCCGCCGTCAGTGTCAATGGCGAAGTTATAGGGTATGCTTTCCAAGTCAAGCTTCAGGACCTCAAGGTTAGGAAATCTCGGTAATGCAATCTGAATCTCTGTAGATATTCGCGCAAGATATCGCAGGCATCTGTCTTTCTCCTTGGTCTCTCGGTGGGGAAACCGATAGACTCTCTCTCGTTTGACGCAGAATTCTAGACGGCGGACTAGTTTTCGTAGCACAGGATCCTCTGATAGCTTCCCAGTCGGGTTGCGCCAGTTTCACGGGTCGGACCAGGTCCATTGTGTTCCTTCACTTGGTTGCCGGAGAAGATAACAACGCGTTGAAAGAGTACAGGGGTGGCTAATCCGCAGAACAGACGGTTTACAGCACGCATAGAAATTAAATACTCCCGTCGTTTCAACTCCTTCAACTCATGCTTACCCACGGGCTGGTCATATCCACCAAAACGATGTCTTTTGAAGCCATCGTGCAAGTGCTCTAGGATCTGCGTCTTGTCAGTAGGCTCGAAGGAAATCCAGAGGTAACATCATACCTCGCACAGAACTTCGCGTGGTAATTTTTCAAGAGAAGACATTATCACTCGGCTTATCAAAGGTAGTGAAGAAGAGAAGTCATCGCGAAATGGACGCATGGTAATATGTAGTCTAGGGGCTTATCGGATCCCGTTTCATATTTTTTCCAGCGCCGTTGATTGGTCTACGTCGTTCACCGCATAACTCTAAGTCACAGGACCGGGATCTCGTCAACCCGCTTTCAGCCGCAACACCATAACCTTCATCAATTGGATTCAGGTCCACCAATTCCAAAAAGGCCCTTTCGTGTTGCGGCTGCTCGGCTTTAGGCTTTGAAAGGTGGAAGTTCTGTTACTGGCGTCGAGGATAACGACAAGCTGTAGACGTCTGCAGTGTTGAGAAGGATGTCGAGAGGAGGTCGATCTGTAACAAATTAGATGATTCCAAAGCAATGGACAAGCCTTATTCTACCAAATACTTTCGATTATTGGCCAACCCGCTCAAGTTCATCGTCTCATCTCGTCTCGCGTCTTTCTTTGAAGATCGGTATCGTTTTCATCGCTGATAAGACCTTATCTTAGGCCCGGGTGCACGGGCGCTGCACCGCCGATTTCAAGAGCCTTGGTAGGAAAATGGCTTCTTGATTAGATCTATTGCGTTTGATGCCAAGAATGATCGCTGTGGCAATGTTTAACACGTAGCCAGAATCGTGCGTAAAGACACATCGGCATTGATTCCACGTCAACATATCTATCTGGCATCTCCTATAGAACCACGACATGGCTGATTTCGTGTACAACAAGAGTCTGGTCAATAATCCTTGCTAACGACGAGAGACTAATACAAGGCTGCGCCGGAAGAGCACAGCTGGTTCTTGCGCGCGCCAAAGCCGCATCGCGCGTACGGGGAAACCTACCCGATAGGCTACAGGGAACGGGAAGTCCACCGACCTACTGTAAAGGGTCCCACTTTCAAACTCTCAGGGTTTCAGATGCGCATTTGGATAGCCTTGTCTATGGAACAGTTGAAATTGGTGGCTGTGTCGTTTTGACTGCCTGGCTAGGCGCTTAATGCGTAGCACACGCAGCACATATATCCAGCGATGTCAGAAAGCGTAGGTTTCCGTGCTTCTCAGATTCCTTCCTGCCCTCCATTTCACCGTTCTCGCTGAGTTATGTTGACTATTCTCTCTCCTCATTACATTATGGCGACAGTCAGACTCGATGTTACACTTGAACTGCTTCCAGTATTCGATACTTTTCGTGTTAGCAGACCGTATAAGCGCTCTTGGTCCCGGTGTGTGAGAATATTGGGGCCTTCAAGCTGTACCCCGAGGCTATGTCCTTTTCAAGCTGAGCAATCTTCTGAACAGCGCGGCCTTGCGATATTTACTACAAGGCATAGCAGGGATCGGTATCTAAACAGGAATGAAGCTCGAAAAGACCGACTTGGTCAGAAAAGAACGACTTCTCTAATACGGCGAAGGCAAGGTCGACTGATAGAGAAGTCGAATGGGAGAAGTTGCGGTCAGATCACAATATGAGCCTGAGCTGAATAACCATCGCCTCCATTTACTCCCCCATATATCGACTATTGAGTCTGTTGGTGCTCTGATCGCTTCAAGCAAGCCACAAGAAAGTACAACAACGACCTTGAGGTCCTTGATAGGAACCGCCGTGGGCGCCGACCAAGCTGCTATCTAGGCAGCCTCAGAGCCAGAGATGCTCTGCGGTGGTGTCGTCATCAGGGAGGCGGGGCCCATTGAAGCATCAGGAGAGTACGAGTACATGCCAAAAGAGTTTGATGGTATTGACAAGCCTATTGATCCGCGATGTGCCATGTTCATGTCCATCTTTTGCTCGTACTCGAAGCCGGGTTGCTCTCGCTTCATGGGAGTGTTAGGGAGAGAGTCCAAGATTGAGTTGTGCTCAGGTTCAGGCTTGACGGGCCCATTGCTGATGAGGGAGGGGTCAACTCTGCCCCCGGATAAGAGACAGAGGTGTGAGGGCCATCATAGTCCGTCTTGCAGACTTCATAAGGTGTAGATCGTCGAGATGTAGGAGTTTTAGTGCCGTATGCTAATGAGGCGGAGGAGAAGCTTATGGTGGTGGTGGTGGTGGAAGGGCAGGACAGGAGGCTGCAAAATTCGTCCATGTCGAACCAACGTCGAAACAAAAGAGTAGGCCTATAGTTTTCAGCCGCAGGGCCCAAATCAACATTATCTACCAAGTCAATTTCTTGACTTCAGGCCGTTTCCAACTTCTCATCTTTACATTCATAACCCTGTTCTCCAAGTAGCCATTAGAGAGCCTCCTGCAATCAGATGTCCGATGTAGGTTGAAAATTAATAGTTGACCGAGAATGAGACTCAGCTTTTCGCGGTCTGTGTGACGCAGATGCCTTTTCATTTGGAGGACAGCAGCCTGATGTGATACCATGACAGTATTACCTCAACGCGCATCGCACCTCGCACCAGAACTCATTACGTCAGTTCTGAGCCACTGCACAGACTCGGCGCCTGTTGGGTTAATTGGCCACCTTGCAATTTGTCAAATAGCTGCTGCAGCGCAGCCTGATTTCCAAAACTGTCAGGACACGCGGCACATTTGGTGCCCATTGATTTCTCCCTGTAGAGGACTCGCAAACCGCATTCCACAGCTGGTCCTTAGAGGACCTGGTGCTAAATTCTTATTTACTGCAGAATGCCTTGCTTCTTCTCCGCATTAAATCAACTCTCCGAAAAGGGCCGCTTCCACACGACTTTAAGAACCCGCAAGGGGATCACTCGTTGGTTCAAGCACGTGACTGGTGTATGCTTTTATTTGGCCCCCATACTAAAGTATTTTCTGAGTATGTACTACCGCGTACGTGCCCCGACCAAAAGACCAAAAAGACGCATTTGTCGGCGGCATCCATGCAGCTATACCTTTCCAGGACTAGGAGGCGACAAAGGTCTTGGCCATGATGGAATGGCCCGTTTAGGCAAGCCAGGATTGGGTCGGGCGGTCTCGAAGTGCCACTCAGCCCCAGGTACTCCCCGACCTCTAGCAAGCACGTGGCCGGCACTCTGACCGGTGAAAACGGTGGATTTGGAAACGGTGAATTGGCAAAACGGCCTCCACCATGCCATCTCGCCATTACGACTAGAATTTAGGCTGCCACCCCCACGTTCTTACGAACTTGGAGATATTATCTAGATACAGGATGTTAAGTCTTCAGGCCTAATTGACATGCTTTTAACATAAAACAGGTACTCCGTATATTTACTAATTAACTAATATCCCTGTATTTAAAGATTGGTTTTTATGGTAGCACCCCATCCTGATGGGGACTCAGCCCTCGAGACCAGCGAAGGTCCGAGCATCGCGATGCTGACGACGACGACGCCCACAGTCCCTGACAGCCACTGGATCGGCACATTGCTATGGAGTTGATGATAGACTTATTGACAACTGTACGATATACGAGATACTTTCTGGATCTGAAGAATTGAGATTTGCTTTATGCTTTAATCGTGTCCACATCTTGTTTCTGACGCTTGATGTGACACAAAGATGTCAGTGACAGCACAACTATGTTGCACAATCACTCTCAGTCTGGTCAATTTGAACTCAATATGCTTTAAAGATAGTCCATAACCGACATACCAACTCAAAATCTTCAACAGAAGAATGGCCAAAACGACACTCGTTTGCTCATCGGATAATAACCGTTTTCTCCCAAGAACTCTCGCTATATGCCTCTCCAGTAGGCTAGTAGTCTAGGACAGAGTCGAGTTCCACGGTCGACAACGATTGGCCATGCACATACCGTTGCAGCAAGGTCCTACAAGCTGCCCGCGTGTATCATAGCACTCGCCTACCATTGATATTCGTCAGAAATGCCGGATCACGGGAGTTAGATCTGGTGTGCTTACCGTATGTAGGAACACAACTGCCTGACAGCAGTGATCACTCGAGAGGGGTTGACGAGGATGTGCTGGGAGCCATCTTTGGTACTGACCTTGGGGGTCAACTTCGCTTGGCCTTCGATGGCGAAGAAGCATTGTTCAAGCGCATTGTAGTCTGAGTTGTCGATGAAATCGACACTGAGATCATGATCTGAAGAAGAGTACATAAGATAAGTGTTGAAAAGGATATGCTAAGAGCGACGCCTACCAGTCTTGCGAGTACTGCCATCAGCACGGAAAGTCATAAAGTAAGAATCAAGACCACCATAGAACGTAAGGTGAACAAGCTGAGGATCCGCATGTCGAAGAGCACTCTGAAGAGCAAGGACACCATAGGAGAGGGGGAATAGGAGAGTCGAAACAAACTTCATAGCGTCGTCTATCTGTAGAAGAGGATTGTTTTAAGCATATATGTTCTTAACAATACGAGTTTCTCTTATGCAATTATGGGTTACTGGCTAGGAGACGAAGTCTTCATGACATTGGAAAGCATGGAAAGGTTTAGCAGACTGTAGATTACCTCCAGAACCACTATCCTAACCTCGATAACCCTAAACCTCAGCCTGGGGGCCCACTGCACGCAACCCAGAAGGTGGTTAGACAAAGCCTTTAGTTTAAAAACCTTACTATTACTTTATATTTATTTTAGCTTTACTTTTATAGTTTTAAATTATAATTAGCCTATGAACCTTTATATAAAGAAACAGAAATTAAATATATATTTAGCCTTAATAATTATATTTTATAGTTACTCTTTATAGTTAATTAAGTTTAAGCCTAAAAAGATAATTAAAAAGGTAGTTTAATTAATTATTAAGGTCTTACCTTACCTTATAGCTTCTTTTAAATCTTTTAATTAGAATATCTTTTTAATTAACTACTTTAAAGATATTATATAATTTAAGATATTTAGATTTATATAATTAATTATATTAATTAAAGTATAATTAAAAATAGTTATTTTAATTAAATTAAATTAGCTTTTTAATAAAACATTCTTTTTATTAATAATATAATTTATAGTTTCTATTAATATTAATYTAATTATATTAATATAATTATAATTAATTATATAATAGGCCTAATTAGCCTATAGGCTATTACATATAGATATTATATTAATAGCTATAATTAATATTAATAACTATAATTAATATATTAAAGAATATATTTTAAAAGTATAATAAATTTAATATAATATAGTTAAAAAGGTTAAT